AGCTCACTTTTTACCAGTCAAAACAACTTTCCGACCACCTCAGTATGCTGAGAAGTATATTACAGAGATTGTCCGATTACATGGTATACCAAATACTATCGTGTCTGGCCGTGGGTCCCAATTTACCGCTCATTTTTTGGAGTATCTTCATAAAGGTTTGGGTACTAGCTTGATTCGTAGTACAGCTTACCACCCACAGACAGATGGGCAGACAGAGCGAGTTAATGCTGTTCTAGAAGATATGGTTAGAGCTTGTGTGTTATCGTCTAAGGGTTCATGGGAATCATGGTTACCTTTGGCAGAGTTCGCTTACAACAACAGTTACCAAGAAAGTATCAAGATGGCTCCATTTGAAGCATTGTATGGCAGGAAATGTAGGACGCCATTGAATTGGGTTGAGCCTAGAGAGAGAAGGTTTTACAGAATTGATTTTGTTGACGAGGTTGAGAAAAAGGTCCATATTATCCAACAAAACATGAAAGCGGCACAATCACGCCAGAAGAGTTATGCCGATAAGAGAAGGAGACCGCTTGAGTTTGAGGTAGGTGACGACGTTTATCTGAAGGTTACTCCAATGAAGAAAGTACAAAGGTTTGGAGTAAAGAGGAAACTTGCTCCTAGATTTGTAGGACCGTACAAGACCATAGAGAAGAAGGGTCCCGTGGCTTATAAGTTACAGTTACCAGAAGCGATGGGTTCGATCTTTCCAGTCTTCCATGTATCACAGTTGAAGAAGTGCTTGCGTATTCCGGAAGAGAGAATAGAACCTCAGAGCATTCAGCTCAAATCAGACTTGGAATACCATGAACAACCGATTCGAGTTTTGGACACTAAGGACCGAGTCACTTGGAATAAAGTGGTGAGAACATATAAGATACAGTGGAGTCATCACGATGATGGTGATGCGACGTGGGAAACAGGGGAATATCTGCAAAACGCTTATAAGGATTTTTATAACAAATGGTTCGTAACTCAAAATCTCGGGACGAGATTCTTATAAGGGGGGAAGGCTGTAACACCACGGTGTTAAGCATGCATTAGCATTTGGCAAATCATGAGCATAATCATTAATTTGCATGCATACGCATGACATGAAATATAGAATGGAAGCATACTTTTGAATCATGTATGTTGCATAGTTTTGTTTTGATAGATTGGATGCTATGTTTGTTTTGCCATGTGTGTACCTTGGTTGATCACTTAGACCAATTAGAAGTAGCTAAGATGCAATTTGGAGCAAGGTGTTTATTCAAAGTTTTCTCAAATTTTGCTTTTAAAAATAACCTTCTGAAATCGGGTTTTTGATTTAAATTAACTTTCAATATATAGTTCAAAATCTAATTTGATTTTGGCCTTACTCTTTTTGGCAAAGTTGTAGAGTACTTTTTTCTGAACAACTTTCATTTTTACACTAACTTGTGAAAATGCTTTTAAAATGGCTCAAAATGGAATTTTAGTTCTGTTTATTAAGAAATAAAAAGAAAAATCCTTTTATTTTCCTTAGCGGGCCGCCGCTTCCTTTTCGGCCCAACAGCACAGGCCGGCCCGGCCTGCCTCCGCGCCCGCTGTTCGCTCCCGCGCGCCGCGCCGCGCCGCGCCCGACCAGCCGCAGAGCTCGACGGCCGCGTGTCCGTACGCCGTCGTCGTCGCTCACCGCGTGGACACCGGTGGCCCCCGCGCCCCTCCTGTCGCGCCTACACCCGCCGCGCCGCGTCTGCCTCCCTCTCCTCCATCTCATTTGCTTCTCGCTCGGACAGCAGCAGCAGCAGCGCATGCGCTCGCCTCCAGCACCGCCCGCACCAGCGCCACGCCGGAGTTGGCAGTTCCGGCCGCTCCAGCTCGCCGTCGACCGCCCCATCTCGCCCTGTGCTCCTCCTTCACCTCGTGCATCCCGTGCTAGCACCTTATCACCGTGGTAAGCTATGAGTCGCCGGTAATCGCTCACCGGAGCTTGGTCGAGTTCACCGGAGATGCGTCGTTCCGTGGACCTCGCCCCTCCGTCCTCCTTCTCGCCTCCTTTTTGCGCACACGAGCACCGCACGAACACGGGGTAGCTCGCCAGCCACTCCCCGCGCCACCTCTCAGCCGGAGCTGGCCGGCCGACGTTGAGCCACGCCACCGCGCCACCATGGACACCGGTGAGCTTGCTCCCGAGCTCCACTGGCCACGGTAGGGGTACCGTTAGGTCCGCCTTGTCTCGGGGAATCCTCCGGTGGTGACCTCACCGCCGGCAAGTTCACCGGCGGCGAGAACCGCCGCGGCCGAGCGCCTCCGCTGCCTTAGTGACTGACCGGTGGGGCCAGGGGGCCCACTGTCAGCCGCTGGGGTGCAAGCCTGGGTAGGGATCCGGGTGGATCTAGCATTTTTGAACCGGGATTTTTAGAAAAGAATAAGAGAAATGATTTATAGATTTTGTTTAAAGGCTTTGGAAATTTATAACTTGCTCAAAATGGCTCCAAATTTGTTGAAATAAGTTTTGCTAGGTTTCTTGTGACTAGATCTATCTGCTAAAAATATTGCATGTCAAATTTGTGATACTTTTCTGTGTAGCTTTATTTAAATTGAATAAATGCCGATTTCTTAGAAAATGTCTAGTAAATAGAATATACATCAGAAAAATATAGTTCTAGTTTTGTTAATCTCCTTTAGTGATGTACTTTGTAGGAAAAATATATGTCATGCATGTTCTGTATAGAAATATTGATGTGTAGTTCGAGTGCCTTTAATTGATGATTTTTGTTATTTTGATAGAGAGCAAAAATTGTATAAAACATGTGTATGATAATTTTTGTGCAGTGATTGTTTACTGTGTAGAACATAGGAAAAATACCAAATCTGTTGTTTGACACTTTTCATAGTACAAAGTATTTTCATGCTTAATTATCAACCATAGCTTGTCATTTTTGTGTAGGCTATTTTACTTATCCAAATGCCATGAAAATTTTATGTCAGTCTACTTAGAGTAGTACTATGCTACTGTAATTTTCTCAGATTTTTATGAGCACTAGAAATATATGTTGCTGTGTAGCCCTAGTTTAAAATGAAATAAAATAATCTTCTTTAATGCATGTTTAGTTAATAATGTTTGCTTTGGTGTATCTTTGAAGCATCTTAACTTGCTGTGGTGATTTGACATGTTAGTACAGTGGTTGTCGTAGTAGATAGTAGTACATGTTCTTGGTTGATGTTGACTACCATGTAGACGAGCTTTGCTACTACTATGTTCAATAAAGTTAAATATGGTCATCTACATTTCATGCATCATGATCATTACATGTCATCTCTCCGATGCACCTATGCATTAGCATTTATACATCTGCATCATACAGGATCGCAGGAGGAGTTGCTAGTAGCAGTTCAGGAAGAGCACACCGGGACAGATCCACAAGAAGTCCAGGCACAGGAGGTGCCAGAGGAAGAGGAGCAAGGAGAGGACTTGTCGGAGTGCGTGGATCGTCAACCTAGTTCGTTCGAACGAGGCAAGCCCCGGAGCATTCTAAGTCTCCTACTTTATAAAAGCAATTCTTTCTATATATATGAGTTTATATATTGTTGCATTAAGTTGTAGGAGTTGATTGAAACCGTTGATGCATTTATTACTGTCCTTGCCTACCTTATTACCTTTTACCCTGTTAGGTCAGGATCGAATAACTGCTTAGCCTTACTTAGACCAGTAGCGATCAGTGATACCCGTTTCCCTACATTATAGGTGGTTACTGGAAGAGATTGGCTATGGAAAGAATGATATCCTAGAATTAATAATATGTGATGGAGAATTGGAGACCGGACGAAATAGTTGGAGGCAACCAGACAGGGTTCTGGGGTGCTGTTAGTTTCCGTCTGTGTCGATTAAGGACCGATCGTTGCTTGTCCCTCTTTTCATGTTGAACGCATGCCTCACATTTAGCTGGCCGAATAAAGTACCTTTCGACCGCGAAGCTAGTGGCACTATTCGGGCCGGGATCTACACGAGTGCGCGTATTGGTGCTGATGGGGGTATGACAGGGGTGCGAAGAGTGAGCCCAAGGGCAGGTGTGACCTGATTCCTGGCAGTCGGGCGGTCCCTGGGTACTGTGGCTCCAGATTATCCCGTGCCTATCTAAAAAGTGTCATTTGTGATCTAAGCTACCGTGGCAGGGGAAGCATGGTTTGTGTGAGGAATAAATCACCAGCTGGTTAGAAATCAATTCGAATCGCCATCGCTCCTGGATAGTGAGCACTTGACTCGAGCTACGGCATCGTAGTAATTACTATGAAACAATGATGGTTATCTGGATGATATGAGTTATGCTAAGCTAAATTGGTAACCAGATGTTATTGGTTAATCATGTGATTGCTATAGTACAGGTGCTTACCTAGATGGGTAGGTTATAATAAAGATGATGCAAAGTACTTAAAATGGTTTATTCATGATAACTTATGCTTTCGCAAAAGAGTCGGCTAGCCCACTAAAGAAAGCCTTGCATAATCCTTGGTGTCGTTTTATTTTGGTTTAAGGCGGGTAAGTCTAGCTGAGTACCTTCTCGTACTTAGGGCGTTGTTCCCATTGTTGTTGCTGATGGTCAAATGTACTATGGCTATTGCATTAACTGCCTGTATCCGGCGATGGGTGACAACTAGGACCAAGGGAAAATGGTCACTCCGTATTTCTCATCTGATGCTTTTATTGGAGATGACTACCTACTGGCACTGTATCTCAATCCAAAGCGTGTGTGTGGCTTTAAAACTATTTGCTTCCGCTATTTCAGTTCGAACTTGGTATGTAATAACTTTATGTTCCAAACTCTGATGTATTAACTGTCGTTGCGAACTTTATGTAACGTGTGACGGTACTTGCTAAACTTGTACGATCTTGGTTTGTATGTCGATTGGTTTGAAATCCTTCGTGGTTTCACGGACTACCGGGTTATACGGGTTTAAGTTTGCTAAATTAGCTGCTTTGGCGTAAGATTTTCTTACTTAATCTCGTATAATTGGTCGGTTCTGTTACAAGCGCCGCGATGCTCGGCTACCGCGTCGTGCGCCCGAGCATCGACGGCCCGTCCGTGTTCCCTGACGACGACGAGCCCCGGCTGCTGCCGGTCGAGTACTGCGACCGCCTCGCCATCGTGGTGTACCGCCGCGGGAAGGGTCAGCAGGCGGTGGACCCGGATTGCGCTTTCTGCATCTCCGCGGTCCGCGACGGCGAGGAGGTGCGCGAGTTGCGGTGCCACCACGTCTTCCACCGTGCCTGCCTCGACGCCTGGCTCGTCCGCCCGCGCGCCACCTGCCCGCTCTGCCGTGACCGACTCCTCCCCGCCGAGAGCGACTACAACGACCACCTCTCCTCCTCCTCCTCCTCCTCGTCCGCCTTTGCCTACGCCCACGGCGGCGCTATCTGGCACATGACGTGAACGCGTTCCCTTTTGGTTCGATTCCTCCTCCATTTGGGGGGTTATTATTGCGTTAACCCTCCTGTTTCATCGAGCTAGCCGTGCGTGCCATAGGATAGGATAGGATAGGATCCATCCGACCGACGGCCCCAAGTGTGTGGTGTGGCTCTGTCTGTACTCACTCTGTAGTGACCTGTACTGGCCCTGGTAAATACTAGTGGGACCCACAGTTTCGCTGTCATTTAGCCTGTTCGCTTGTTAGTTTAGTGATTTTTTCTCACAACAAACCAGCACCAGCCGGACTTATCAGCCCAGAAACCAACCAGCGAATAGGCTCATTACCGTTTAATGGATCACTTAATTGCTCATCCATATAACCATATCCATTATCCATATGAGTCCGTGATGATGATGACCGTGATAGGAGTAGCTGACAAGGACGGCTCAACCGCCCGTGGCCGGCCTCTCTCTCCTCGTGTTCGATTGATTTTTTTATAGGTCGGCTGATGTTGTTTTATTTTGAGAGAAAAATGCTCTATCTCGATCTCTTGTGCTGTCAGTCGCCTAGTGACAGTGGTGTCCAGCTTGCTCGTGGACGAATCGGAACGGCGCCGGGCTAGGCGTCCATTTTTTTTATTTTTTAGCCATTTTTTAAAAAAAATTATAAATATGTCTCTGGAGGTAAGATTTCAAAATCTAGACCCTTAGCTTGGCGCCAGAGTTACACGTCTCGGTGCCATCGTTGCTGACGCCGAGCTCTTGGGCTCGACGCAGACGTGACGGTGACATGACAGGCAGCTCAGCGCCGTAGATCTTTGCGTCGAGCTCGGCACCATGCTTACGCGTAGCTCGGCGTCGTTCTTACTGGCGCCGAGACATGCCGATGCGGCAATGCTCCTACTTCCTGCACTTGTACATGTAGTTGTACGTATTGCCCGTTCGCCTCAAAACCGTAGCAAAAAAAGACACGAAGAATCCGTCGAGTCGGGCTCGAGATGGATGAGAGAGCATCCAAGAACACTGGACACTGGACTCCGCCTCGCCGCGTGGAGCGCAGGGGTTGCAGTTGCAGGATGGATCATAGATTCATTCATAGTAAAATCGTCCAACAACACTGGACACTCAACTGGCAATCAACGTTTAAAATGTTACGCTGCGCTGGAGGAGACCGGAGTAGTACGCTACTGCATTTTGTGTCCTAGGTTCTGATTCTGACACCCCGGGGTTAGTTAGACAGAAGAGGTTCACGACACTACAGGAACTGCTGGCTTCCCCGAGTGCCAGTTGCACTTGGGGAAGGCCCAGTTGCACTCGGGGAAGCCTTCCCCGAGTGCAACACTCGGGGAAGCCTTCCCCGAGTGCAACACTCGGGGAAGAGCCTCCGGCTAATCTTTCCACGGGAAAGCCGCCTTCCCCGAGTGTCGAAAATCGTGCACTCGGGGAAGGCTTCGCCGAGTGCCGTGCTGACACTCGGGGAAGACTTGACGTCGTTGGCCGACAGCCGACGCCGTTTTTTTTTATTATTTTCTTCCCCGAGTGTAATACTCGAGAAAGATATTTTTTTAAATACTCTTTGCCGAGTGCCGCAGCTCAGGCACTCGGCAAAAGAAATTTGTTTTTTTTTTAAAAATCCCTCTTTTCCGAGTGCCACAGCACAGGCACTCGGGGAAGATTTTTTTTTTAAATACTTTTTGCCGAGTGCCGTAGCGAATTTTTTTTTAATCCCTCTTTCCCGAGTGCCACAGCACAGGCACTCGGGGAAGCCACCTCTAAAATTCTTTTTTTTTGTTTTTTGTTTTTCCATGTAAACAATGTATATATATATATATATATATATATATATATATATATATATATATCACAAACCACAAATCAACACCAATATGTCACAAACCACATTTATATATCACAAACGACCAAATTTATCCGAAATCCACAATATATTACAAACATGATCTCAATGGGGTCCTAAAACATGATTCACCAGTAAGATAGCTACCATGTGTTTTATGTATCACATGAAAGAAATCATGGTAAGCAACAGAATCTAGAAGTCCAGCACACCACCACACTTCTGGTAAAGCCAATGTCGTGCACCTGAAACATTTAGCAAACTGTAAGAACCAGACATATAACACACCATGTTGAAACCATGAGAATTCATGGGATCAGAATTTAGAAGAGCACTCATATTATCCCAAATTTGAAGCCATGAGAATTCAACTAAAGATATAGTTAGCCTCTTGTGCATGCGGTGGGCCAAGTCCTAGACTACTAGCTAAGGATATGGTTAGCTAGGAGTAGATGCTTAGCGCGACGCGGGAAATGCCAGAGAGCCGGCCATGGCAAGACCACGTCGTATTACATGCTGACCCAATCGATGATATCTGGGGAACTGAGAATCGGCGATAAGCTAGGTGCACGTACGTTCCACGCCACAAAGCAGCCAGAAATGTGCTCCCCGGTCGCGCACATTGGCTGAGATCCCAATTAATTAAGTTGTATGCAAAGAGGGGAACCTTACATACATACAAGCCACGGCTGCTGAGACGATCCCAACCAGGCTGTATGCAAACAAGGATACAGACAGACAGACAATTAGATAGATGCACATGACGCGGCATCTCGTCCAGTGCCGTATTTGTTTTTCTATATTACTGTCTTCACAGTTGAAAACAATTCAGGGAGGTTGCCCGTTGCCATCGTTCACCGTTGTTGTCTCCGCGCTTTGCCTGTGCTCCCCCGTCGAGTCTCGTCGACCCCAGCCGGCGGCGTCGAGCTTTTTCAGTTTGGAAGTAATGCAGTGATGCAGCGTCAAAGTGATGCAGCGTCAAAGTCGTCGTCTACAAAATCCTCGCACGATTGGAAAAATCAGTGTGAACCGCGACGCATGCAGGGGCGCAGCAGTTGCGTACTTGTTTGTTCTCAAGGTTCGAGCTAGATCGAAATAGGTACTTGTGTGTTCTCACGATCGGATTAGTAATTAATCCGATGACGGTGACTTATGAAGCTTCCTCGCTCACGAGTGGAGACGCACACTCGTCCCGTCCACGTGTGCCTCCTTGTGATGTTTTTTTTCCCGCCGCCTCCGCCTCCGCCAAGTTTCTCCTCCATCGGAAAGGGACGGGGAGGGCTTCCAGCGGCCGGCGCTTGGGCGCTATATATTCGGACACAAATGTGCCCTCGATCCCACACATAGCCCCAGCCAGCAAGCTACTATACAGTACAACGTACTAGTCACCTGCAGGAGCGAATGGTGACGCTCATGAGCCATCAGTCTGCTAGGCGGGAGCGGCAGGGCGACACCGACGCCGACGGGGCGCTATATATTACTTGATTCAGTCTAAATTTAGTGAAAGAAATCATATTACTTGATTCAGTGATCACTACAGGAACTACTATAGAATACTACAATATTTGAGGATGGAATTTAATTAGCACCAGGGGAAAAGTGTTCTGATTACCTCCTTCCCTAGCTGTGCAATATGATCTGCCTTCCTTCACGTCTCCGAAGGCGGCTCACGGCGACTGTGAGGGGTGGGACGCCGCAGCGTGCGATCCCGGCGACGGTCCAGGTGGGGATGGCCCGACGTTCGATGCCGGCGACCCTTCGACATGGTTCGACGCCGCCCCCGATTGATGCTGCAAAAAAGAGAGGAGATTGCACGTGAGTGACAAGATAAAAATGTAAGGTGTAAAGAAAAGTTGAAAATTTCGGCAGCATCTCCCCTACACGGAGAGGTTTCCAAAACCTGCAAGAAAAACGTCGGCACGAAGGCCGACAACCACATTTCCGACACGAAGGTCAACACATCAACAAATCCGGCACGAATGCCGACACATCAACAAATCCGGCACGAAGGCCATCACTAGGTTTGACACTAAGCATGAGCAAAGAAAGTAAAACATGCGTACTCATACTCACCGGAGTAGACTCTCGACGATATGGTGGTGGTGGTGCAAGCAGCTCTGCTGGGATCTCCCAACCATGTTGCTGCCCAAGTTGTTGCACGAACTTGAGCAAACCATCTTGCTGGGCCTTCAAAGCTTGTACCCTCTGACGCTCGGACTCCCGCTCGGCCCGCTCAGCCTCCCGCTCAGCCAGCAAACTCTTTTGCTGATCCTGAAGTTGCTGCAGCTCGACCTGTAATATTTGACCCTAATGTTTCAATAATGTAGAGCTAAGGAACGTCAGGTGGATAAAAAAATGCATGAAGTGATGCATACAGATAAAGATAGGAATCAGTACCTGATGAACTTGCAATGCCCAACGGGCCAAACAACCAGATGCATCGTTTAGTCCAGGTGGATCACAGGGGCTACTGCAAGAAACAAGAGGACTGTAAATGGAACAATTGCTTGATCTATAACAACAGTAGTAACTATAACAATAAACAAAAGTAACATATAAATCTAACCTATGCCTTTGTTTAGAATAACCCAAGTAATCCCTGAACCTGCCATATTATGGAAAAAAATCCAAAGTACCCTCTCTCTACACATATATATACTTCTACATTTGGTAAAATATAGAAAAAACAGTTAAGGTAAATTGATCTATCATTGTCTACTATATATAGGGAGGGTACCCTCTCTCTCGCTCTCTCTACTATTTCACTAGTGAAACCATTTCACTGTATAGAGAGAGGGTACGATCTATCATGATCTATCACTGTCTTAACCATTTCACTAGTGAAACCAGTAAACACCATGAGCATCCACGCCTCAAATGAAACACCTCATTATTACATTTTTTCAACATTGTACTGAAGAACAGCGACAGTACATTAACTATGCCACCATAAGCATCATATCTTAATGAATCCAACGTGTAACTCATCACTGCATTCATGCTAAATGACAATGGCTGGCTGGCTAGCACGCAGTACTCCTAGATGACTTATAGCATCCATCCTACAAATGCTTTGCACTGACAGAGAAGGCAAAGAACAGCATCCACCCTACAAATCCTATAAAGTGCTGGAATTTTGCAACGAATGGAGAAGATCGTCGCCAGAGGG